GCTTAAACCTGGAGGACGAAACATACGAGTAACAGAAGAAACAAAACATGAATATGTTGACCTTGTAGCCGGCCACATACTTACCAATGCTATTCGGCCTCAAATCAACGCCTTCCTCGAGGGCTTTAATGAGTTGATACCTCGTGAGCTCGTATCCATTTTCAACGACAAAGAGCTCGAGCTCCTAATCAGTGGATTGCCTGAGATTGATTGTAAGTTGGATCCTGTTGTTCAATATTGTTGCATGTATTTGCTTATGCATCAGGTTATTTTAACAGTCTCATGTTATTTCGTTGTTTAGTTGATGATCTTAAAGCCAATACCGAGTATACCAGCTACACGGCAGGATCTCCTGTTATTCATTGGTTCTGGGAGGTCGTTAAAGCTTTTAGCAAAGAAGACATGGCTAGATTTCTTCAATTTGTCACCGGAACATCAAAGGTAAACCAAATAGTAGCACCGCTTCCGTCCAAGTCACTTGAAATGCATTTCCTGATATATCCGTATTTGGCTTCTTTCTGCTGGTGGATGATCTCGATCTCCTCCTGCCTCGCTCTTGTGTAACGATAGATAATCGCAAAAGAGGGAAATCATCTTTTGTTTTACGAAGTGATTGGGTCTGTTTTTTTTTACAGGTTCCTTTGGAAGGTTTCAAGGCTCTGCAAGGTATATCTGGCCCTCAAAGATTACAAATCCACAAAGCGTATGGAGCTCCGGAGCGGCTGCCATCAGCCCATACATGGTTCGAAATCAATACAAAGCCTTTCCTTAATACAAAACGGTTCAATCTCGCCTTGATTCTCATTGGTTACGTCTGTTTTGTTCTGTTGCAGTTTCAACCAACTAGACCTCCCTGAGTATCCATCCAAGGAACAGCTTCAGGAACGCCTGCTACTTGCCATTCACGAAGCCAGTGAAGGTTTCGGGTTTGCTTGAGCTACGCTTCTCGAAACCGTCACACCTTCAGAACCAGTGAAAACCCCCTTCAATCCTTCATTCTTTCGGCTCCCCTGTACATGTAAGTAAGCTTCCATACTTGTTTGATACCCAAAGAAAAAAAGATTGACCATAAAGTGCTGGTTTGTTTGCCACACAAATCTCAAGTTTTCATTGGTTCCGTGGCAGAGACCGAAGATTTTCTGGCAGGATAAGGAGAAGAGCTTTCGAGAAAGTCTGCAGAATGAATACAAAACTCAAGAGGCTATTTTTATATGTCCATATATGTTAGTATTAGACCATTAGGGTTTATGTTTCTCTTTAGATTTTGTAAAGCAAAAATCTTTGAAATAATTGCTGGCCTTTCTTTTGAGTTTGAATACACCGGCTCTCTCTTTCCATTACATAAACGCGATACAAGTGCAGGCGGATAAAGCTAAGACAACTGATTTAACTGTCACGGTCACTGGCATTTTCCCTTTGTCGTTCCTCAACAACATGCCTTGATACAGAGGCCAGTTTAGTACCACAAGTACTCCTGTTATCACAATCTGCATGCCCATTGTCTGAAAATGTTCACCGTCTCTTGAAGTGATCAGTCTCATAGCCGCTGCAGCGAAGCAGAAGAGATTGAGCATCCCGAGTGTTCCGAGGAGGAGAAACATCGGAGACTCCACTCCAAACTCCATTACCTCTTTCTCGTATCTCTCTGCTGCTTCTTCCTCTGCTACTTTCGCCGTGATTACAAATGCAGACTCCGAAGCCCCAAGTTTCTTCAGAATCGTGTCCGTGAATCCGAATACAAACGAGCTTGTTCTTCTATAAAGCCACATCCTTTGCTCGTTCCACCATCCACGGAACGTTCCTCCGCACCACAAGAACTCGGCTAGGCTATAGGAATTAACTGCGACAGTCACGTATCCAAATGGGAAAAACCACGAGCTTGAGACCTGGATTCAAAGACCAGATCAGTTTTACCTGAATGAGATTCCGGGTTTATGACAAACACATAAAGAAACAGAGGGAAAGCCCTTTCTTTACCTTTGGAAACAGAGGAATGCCTTTGAGTAGACAGAGAGAGGTCAAAACAGAGTAAACAAGCACAGGTACTGAACTTGGTGCCCAAAGGCAAAAGCAACAGTAACCAAGTATCAGTCCCAAACCAATCTTTCCGTGGCCATACCAAACCGGACTATACTCTGAAAGCAGAACCTGAAAGTCTCCCTCTGACTCTGCTGCACAAGCATTTGATGCAAATTTGTCGGCGCTACCCCGACAAAAAGCTTTCTTTTTTGGGTTCAGGTACGCTAATTTCCATCCATGGCATTGAATCGCTAAACCGGTTATTACATCTTCTACCGGGCATAACCATATTTTACACCCATCTGCAATGGAAACAACCATGGTTTACTTGGTTTTCAATGAATGAGACACTGGTTTAATTCCGGTCCATATATAAATTTTCCATACGACGAAAAAAAATATAATAATACATATGTTTTTGAGCATTTTGTCCATCCATATATTAAATCATCATTTACAACATACCAATATATTCTTTTTCAATGTGCCAATACACAAAATCCTCAAAAATCAACAAAACAAAAAATATTGATTTAATAACGTGATACATAGCTTACCATCAACGATGTTCTATACACCAAAATAAACTGCGAGAACCCATCACTGTACTTCAACCGCGCCTCCTCAGGTACTCGCCGGAGTTTCGTCGCTGTTTCAATCCTCGCCGCCATTTCTCTATACAACTCAGCCACCTCCTTGGCCACAGCAGAATCAAGAACATTTGCCGTGGAAGACAAGTAAGCCGCTGGAGATCTCGGCTCAACGTTGAATCTCTTACAGAATGGAACCCAAATTCCGGCAAACTCAGCTGCCTCCGCGAGGGCATAGAACGTGAGCTCAGAGCCACCGTCATCTGAGAGATATACGGCGAGTTTCTCCGGTGGATAATCGAGAGCCGTCACAGATAAGAAAGTGTTAACAACCATCAACGGCGGCTCAATCACCGGATCCGCCGTGCAGACGAAAACGTCGAGCGTGGGAAGATCGTTCCCGTACCTCCGGGAGAGTCTGTCGGTGAAGGTAAATCGCCAAACCGGATTCCACCGGAGAGACTGTACGACTACCCAATACAAACCGAACCAAATCTCCATGATTAAGATAACCAACCAGACAATTGGAACGAAACTGGTCCGGTTCTCATCAATCTCTACCGGTATGGTCACTCTGTAGAACCAAATCCAACAGATACAAAAGAAAACCGAGGCTGAGAAAACCCGGTACGAGATCACTCTTCCGGTTTTCCTCCTGGTGACAAAAAGCGGTTCGCCTTGGTGAACCGGTCTAAACGGGTCATCTTCTTTTCTCATGTTTTTTGTCTCTCTGAGTAGGAAGGGAGTGGGAAAGATAAGAGAAGCGTGTCTCTTGTTCGCTATATATCCAAAATACAGAGATTAGTGGAGGCTGTAATTTTGGACAATTTCAAAAAGACGAATAGAGCATTCTCTTGACGTCAGCAATTATTTTTTTCTTTCCTTCGGACAAAAACAGGTCAGAGATTAGAGATAGCGTCCAATAATCAAAGATGAGACTTATCTCTTTTTTTCTGAACGAATAAGATGAGACTTATTAAACAAAAGATAAAGGCTGAAGCTGATGTTTCTTAGGCTTTTAGCAAATGGTTGGTGATGATGAATAAAAGTATCAAAATGGGCTGTCCATGTCTATTTAGGCCCGTCCAATTGTCCAATTTGATTGTGGACAAATGGTGTTCATATCCATTAACGACTATGTCCATTAACAACCATATCCATTAACGATCTAAATGGGCTGTCCATCAGTATCTATTGGACACATAGTATAATATATTGTTTGTTTTTGTTTTTTTCTTTGTTTTATAGATAATTTTTTGTTTTTCGCATTTTTCAGAAAAAAAAACACATGAAAAAATAATTTTATATTTTTGCAAAAAAAATGATTTTGCAGATTTAACGAGGAAATTGTTTCTGCGTTTTGCCGAGAAACTGGAATTTTGAGTTTTTGGCAGAAAATCGAGATTTTGCGTTTTTGGCAGAAAATCAAGATTTTGCATTTTTAGCGGGAAACCAAGATGGAAACCAAGATTTTTCGTTTGGTAGAAAACTGAGATTTCTTAATTTTGCGTTTTTGGCAGAAAATCAAGATTTTGCATTTTTAGCGGAAACCAAAATTTTTCGTTTGGCGGAAAACTGAGATTTCTTGATTTTGCGAGAAATTGAGATTTTATGGTTTTAGCAAAAAATCAAAATTTAGTATTTTTTAGTAGGAAACTGAGATTTTTTGTTTCCGTCAAAAAATAGAATTTTTCTCATACTTGTTGTATTCTTTGTACGATAGAGAATTTTTCATTTGATATTAATTATTATAATAATAATAATATTGGACCAAAATAAAATAAATAAAAATTAATAGTTTTGATGTAGTATTTTTTGTCCAATAGACGGAATGTCCTAAGTGTCCAACTCTATTTTGTCCATTAACAAAAATGGACGAAACCTATTTTAACTTGTTTCGAAAATGGATTTGTCCATGACTAGTCCAAAATACGTTAGACATAGAGAAACTATGGGCTTCCGGGCCCATTTTGACACCTCTAGTACTGATGAATATCAACAATTAACAAAAAAAAATTCTCATCTAATTTTGGGGAGTACTGAATCAAATCAAGAATCACCATGAACGCGTATGACACATGATGTTGCGGAGATCTTGGTTTCATAACTGAAGATTAAAGGGTCTCTGCAAAGACTGCAACAGTGTTGATTTTGAAGAAGTAACTGCACTAAAAAAAAACAAGATGAACGCAGATTTGCAATCTATCTTATGTGAATGACCTGTTGTTATTGAAATTCAAATTCAGGCTATCCATATCGATCAATTCCATATCGGAAGGTTGTTGTTTGTAACACTTGTGTTTATATGCAAAGATATGAAATGTTAAGTTTCATATGGGATGTCCACTTCATATGGGATGTTCTAATATTAATATAGCGCTGACAGATAGCAAGAAGAAGCTTCTCTATTTGCAAATTGATGTAAACAGAAATGAGTTATTTTTATATATATTACATAACTACTTGACCATTATTTTTAATACATTTGACACTCATTTTCCTTTACAAAAACGCAATACAAGTGCAAGCAGATAAAGCTAAGACAACTGATTTAACTGTCACGGTCACTGGCATTTTCCCTTTGTCGTTCCTCAACAACATGCCTTGATACAGAGGCCAGTTTAGTACCACAAGTACTCCTGTTATCACAAACTGCATGCCCATTGTCTGAAAATGTTGACCGTCTCTTGAAGTCATCAGCCCCATAGCCGCTGCAGCGGAGCAGAAGAGATTAAGCATCCCGAGTGTTCCGAGGAGGAGAAACATCGGAGACTCCACTCCAAACTCCATTACCTCTTTCTCGTATCTCTCTGCTGCTTCTTCCTCTGCTACTTTCGCCGTGATTACAAACGCAGACTCCGAAGCCCCAAGTTTCTTCAGAATTGTGTCAATGAATCCGAAAACAAATGAGCTTGTTCTCCTATAAAGCCACATCCTTTGCTCGTTCCACCATCCACGGAACGTTCCTCCGCACCACAAGAACTCGGCTAGGCTATAAGCATTAGCTGCGACAGTCACGTATCCGAACGGGAAAAACCACAAGCTCGAGACCTGGAATCAAAGATCAGATCAGTTTTACCTGAATGAGATTCCGGGTATATGACAAACACAAAAAGAAACAGAGGGAAAGCTCTTTCTTTACCTTTGGAAACAGAGGAATGCCTTTGAGTAGACATAGAGAGGTCAAAACAGAGTAAACAAGCACAGGTACTGAACTTGGTGCCCAAAGGCAATAGCAGCAGTAACCAAGTATCAGTCCTAAACCGATCTTTCCTTGGCCATACCAAACCGGACTATACTCTGAAAGCAGAATCTGAAAGTCTCCCTCTGACCATCTCCTCTGCTGCACAAGCATTTGATGCAAATTTGTCGGCGCTACCCCAAGAAAAGCTTTCTTTTTAGGGGTCAGGTACGCCGATTTCCATCCGCGGCACTGTATCGCTAAACCGGTAATTACATCCTCTACGGGGCAACCATATTTCAGACCCATCTGCCATGGAAGCAAAACCCGGTTTACTTCCCTATCAAGAAACCAGAAACCGGTGGAGTAAGTGAAGTATTAATCAATGCTTTTACCTCCTTTCCCCATTGAGAGTTTTCTTCATAAGTGCAGCTCGCGAGAGCTTTAATCATCTCAGGCTCTAAAATTTCTTGAATTTCCTCAGATTCTTCTTCTTCTACCTCTCCATACTTTCTTCCACAGATCACGTCTCTTCTGTGAAAGCAGCCAGTCCCAATGTACAGCGGTCCGCCATTTCCATCCAGTCCATTAAACTCCACCTTTTGTTTTTTCACATCCCAAAACACACAGGTTAGATAAGACAACAACAGAATCAATATATCAAAAATCCAGAATCTATGTTGTGTTTTCTACTGTCTCTGTCTCTATAACTTACATCAGCTATTACTCGCATCATGCTTCCATACAAATCATTCCTAGTAATGTTCTCGTAACACTGCGGAAACTGCACGAAGGCAATCTCCTTTCCCTCTTTCTCATCAAGTAGGATGCAGAGCGCGTCTAGTGCTGACTTTGAGTTGTTTGAGTACATATCGCAGTCCAGGTTAAGTATGATTCTCCCACAGGTTATCTTCGAAGAAACCCTTATCTGATCAAAGAAACAACCATATCAAAAGGGCGACCAATCGAGGAGAAATCAGAATGGCTTGTGGAACAAGAAACCATTACCAATGCGTTCATAGCTCCAGCCTTGAAATGATGATGATGTTGAGGTCTCTTCTCCCTTGATAGATACACCAACGTTGGTATTGCTACTGTGTTCTTTTTTCTTCCGTCTACCAAAATCTGATGCAACAAAATAAACAATCTAAAGAATCCACTTTTCCGATTGCTGAATAACAGAACATAACCCTAAAAAACCCTATTGCTTACTTGAAGAATGGTTCCATGGTTTCTCTGAGTAACGTCAGAATCCCACTGCGAGAACCCATCACCGTACTTCAACCGCGCCTCCTCAGGTACTCGCCGCAGTTTCGTCGCCGTTTCAATCCTCGCCGCCATTTCTCTATACAACTCAGCCACCTCCTTGGCCGCAGCAGAAGATTCAAGACCATTTGCCGTGGAAGACAAGTAAGCCGCCGGAGATCTCGGCTCAACGTTGAATCTCTTACAGAACGGAACCCAAACTCCGGCAAACTCAGCTGCCTCCGCGAGGGCATAGAACGTGAGCTCAGAGCCACCGTCATCTGAGAGATATACGGCGAGTTTCTCCGGTGGGTAATCGAGAGCCGCCACAGATAAGACAGTGTTGACCACCATCAACGGCGGCTCAATCACCGGATCAGCCGTGCAAACGAAAACGTCGAGCGTGGGAAGATCGTTCCCGTACCTCCGGGAGAGTCTGTCGGTGAAGGTAAATCGCCAAACCGGATTCCACCGGAGAGATTGTACCACTAACCAATACAAACCGAACCAAATCTCCAAAGTTAACATAACCAACCAGATGAATCGAACGAAACCAGTTCGGTTCTCATCAATCTCCGACGGTGCGGTAACTCGGTAGAACCAAATCGAACAGATACATCCGAAAACCGAGGCCGCGAAAACCCGGAACGTAATCACTCTTCCGGTCCTCCTCCTGGTCACAAAAAGCGGTTCACGGTCGCCTTCTTGAACCAGTCTAAACCGGTCGTCTTCTTTCCTCATGTTTTTTTTTTTTTTGATTATTTTTTCTCTGTAAGGCGGCGCCAAGTGGGAAGGATATGAGAAGTGTCTCTCTGGTAGGTTACTTTACTTATAATATGTATAGAGAGATTAGTGGAGACATTGTTGTCCAAAAAGGAACGTGGACTTCCCTGACGTCATTAGAATCGTCAGCAACTATGTTTCAGTTTCAGACAAATGATGACAGGTAGGCGTCAAGGATCATGATTAAACTTCTTAATCTTATCAGATGACGTTTTCGTTGACTTTAGCACTTGGTTTGGTTAGTGATTAAAATAATAGTCAAAGAGTAACAAACTTCATTTCAATTTCTTATAATATTATCTTGGGAGTACTGTATGCCTCTGACTCGTGATGTTGCAGAGATCTTGTTTTCACATTTGAAGAAAAAGCGCTCTGCAACAATGGAGATTCATATATGAAGCAAACAGAGTAACAAGAAGCTTCTCTACTTGCAAAAGAAGGTAAACAGAAAATGAGTTCTATATATATATATATATATATATTCGATCATAAGATCCATTTCGAGGAAATTGTGTTTCCCTTTCTTCTTTTTTTTCAAACAACCCTGCATCTAGCTGATGCAAGCAAATCTAGGAATACAATCTTGAGATGCTAAACAAGTAAAGCTGACTCTTATCTTAAATACTGCTCATAAACTTTAAACCAGAGAAAATTCCGGTTTTTGTTTCATCTTGGTCGGCAAACTCGTGTTATAAGACGGCTCAAATGAGGAATCAGACCTTCTGGTCATTTCCAAGCTTCTGGAACTCAGATTCTAAGGTATCGAATATCTTGGTGCCTTCCGTGTCTGGCTCAGGGAACCTAACGTGGACCGAACCATGTCTGATCGGTGCACTCGACCCTTTAACCAGAGCCTGTTGCTTGACATAGTTGTAAAGCTCTTGGTGGAAAGAGTGATCCAATGAGAAACAATTGTCTACTGTTCCATTTGAGATATGCCTACCAGATCCAGACCCTTCTCTTCTACAGAAATGTGGCAGAGACTCGTAGTCCATTATCTGCATTAGGTTTAAAACTTTCAGCAAGAAGCTATACTTTGAATCGATTTTGGCAATGAGCTTCGCTTGTCAATTGCTTACCTTTAGCAACTCATCTTTCCCGCAGCCTTTCAGCACTTGAATCTTCTTCTTTGTTCTCTCCTGCAACAGAGGCTTTATGGTTTTCCAACAAGCAGAGAATATGTAAGGGACATTGACAATATAATATGTCTCTGTCTTCTCTGGGTAGTTTAAATCATCAATTGTGGTTATAGCTGTCATTAACTGCGCAAAAAGAAAAGAAACACACCATGTGATGAATAATATAAATACAAATAAAAGCTACATAAATCATAAGCAAATGTAGATTACTAAATTTAGCTAAAGAAGACAAATATGTAGAATTATTACCTTAATTTGACTTAAAGCTGAAAGCTTTAAACCAGACATATCCAAAATTTTCAAACAAGTGCAAATTGGTCGTCCCTGTTTCTTTGTAGCAGATGGCTACCAGACAAGAATATCACACAATTAAGATTTATGAAAACAAGCATATGTAGAAATGAAGTAGTAGGAGGAAAAAGCTATTAAAATAAAAAGAAAAGTTTTGGTCATACCAAAACGACACGATCCCGGAACTCATTCATTTGAATGTGAGACTGTACATAGTAGTGAACCTGAAGGAAGGATCAGGAAGCTATATGGTCAGAGTTTCAACTTCATATCTCAAGTCTTTGTGTGGAAGATGGAGAGACTTAAAATGAACAGAGATGCTTACGGAGGCTTTGTCATATGTGCTAAGCCCCACACCAATGGCAATGACAGGGAGACCCTTAAAAAGTTGATGAACATTTCAACAAAGTTAGTTTTGATCAAACATGCCTAGTTGTGATGCTTGTTGAAAGTCAAAAGTCAGAGAAAGAAAGAGACTCAAAACAAGTTAGAACTAACTAGTAGTACCTCTTTTGAATAACCAGAGATACCGACAAGCTGAGATTCTCTGATTGCTCTGTACAGGTCAACAGGAACGATGGGTTTCTACAAAGAAAGAAAGAAACCAAAAAAATTCAATTTATCGGATGAGATAAAAAGGGTCACAGAAGTTTATCGTTGAGAATAATTTCAGTGAAGAAAAGCAGAAGACTCACTGTAAGAATCTTGTCAATCTCGTTTTGAGTCCTCCATTCTAAACACTCAAGCAACTGCAAACATATAGTTTTAAGCCCCAAGAAGGCAAATAATATAAGAAACAAAGCATCAAAGACAATCTGGATTAGGTGAAAGCAAACAGATTTATTAAACCATTTTATGAGCTTTCTGGACATTCCAATCCCTCGCTTTTAGAAAGCGCAACAAAGTCTCTGTTGGATACCCTTGATGAATGTTCTGCAGCATAACACAGGCATTTTGTTAAATCCACCATTTTTATTTATTAAGCTCAATAAAGATCCAAGTTACATTTTAACACCCAACTCAAAACTCTGGATCAGCCAATATTCTAACTACAAAACTCCACAGATCCAACAACATTGAACCAAATGCAAGAGAGAAGTGTCAACTTAGAGCTTGATTCAAATATAGATCCAGATCATTGCCGATCAAATACTCATGACAATCAGATTGGTTCCAATTGACCCCAACGAAAAAAAGGTTTTTTTTCTTTTCCGTTGCTACTTCGGTTTATAGCCCGAAATACCAAATCAGAACAACCAATCTTTGGCTCAATAAGCAAAGAGTTGGAGTTGAATCATACTACGCATCTAAAGAAAGAGGAAAGCAAGAAAATTACTAACCCGATACGACTCTCTCAGTGATTCATCAACTGTCAATACCAGAAGAAGAAACCAAAACAAAAAAAAAAATTAGGATTTCGTCGGCGATCTTGGAACAAAGCAAAGCTTAAAACATGAAACACACAAAGAGAAAAAAAAAAAAAAAACCACACCATCTTCCATTAAAGTACGTAATTGCTTGATTGCTTCCTCACTAGAGATGCCCATTTTCTCTCTCTCTATCTCTAGAGATCTCAGCTCAGATGTGAAAGAAAACAAAAAACCTGTAAACTCTGGGCAAAAGTTTCTGCGGGAAATCTAAAGAGAGTAAATCTCTGATCTTACGGACAATAGTTCCTCCGAGGAAGTGAGAGAGAAATAAAGAAATTAAAAAAAAATGTGCACTTTTTATTTTTTATTTTTCTGTGGAAATGGAGCGAAGAATTAAGCTTTTAGAGAGAGAGAGAGAGAGAGAGAAAACTCTAAAGTTCTCTCTCTGCTTAAAGCCTTTCTTCTCCAATGAGTTAGACAAATATCATCTCAAGTTCTCTCTTGTAATAAACACAAGAGCAAGTGATTTTGGATTTTCTTTTCTAAACAAATACAAAAAGAAACAATGAATTTTCCGATCATGCTTCTTTTTTCCATTTTTTGGAGATTCCAAAAACAATGAATTTCCCTTTCTTTATTTGGAAATCTCCACTCAAATTCAACCATCTAAGAAAAGTCAAGGGAGAATTTAATAGTTTCACTTCATTTTCCTCAAACTTTACTTATTTTCTGATTATCGATTAAAGTAAAAATATTCTTCCCGGAAAGAAAAAAAATGAGAAGCCTGAGATGGAATTATTATTTAATGACATTTGCATGCTTGAAACAATTGGCCTTCCATTAATTATTAATAATACTTAATGTAGATCAATCGATCGATGAATAGATTGTTGGATTAATTTAGTGTAATTAATAATAATTTGTCAAAAGATATGAAAGGAAAACTCCAAAACGAGAACCAATGAATCTGATTCTTTCGAATTTGATTGTTGATATCCAGTACATACGCACTAGTAAAGAAAGAGAAAAAAAAAGTGAATGTAAATGAAGTAGGACTAAGTAAGTTTTCTGATTAATATTTGATCAAGACGATGCCCATAATTAATAACCGTGTGTCATCTTCTTTCGATACAGAAAATACGTTTAGTTTGGCTTGAGAATGCAACAAAAAAAGAATAAGATGCGTGCACCAAACAATGTTTTAACGAGTAAATAACAAAACTCATTATTTTATGCAAAGATAAAAAAGAAATAAAGAAACATAAATGTCCATCGTCATGTGTTAGTTCTCCTCATTCAATCACAAAATTAAAGACCCCATATGCCACATGTGACATGCATCATCGATCGTGAACCATCTTCCTTACTTTTTTCTTCTTTGTTTTATTTTATTTTCTGTCGGTTTTCTACTTATTTCAACAAATATAAAAATCCCATTTAGATACTCTCGAGTCTTAACAACATACTAGATTTTGCTTCCACGCTTGTTAATAAAAATTATATGCAATCAATTGTATTTATTAAGATATAAATTTTATATATTAGTAATTTAATAATATATTAAAAATATTATAATGTTAATATAATAATTTTTATGTAAATTTTGAGGTTTTAACGGTTTTGTTTTAAATCTATATACAATATGTCATATTTCAAAAACGTATTATTTAATCAAACACTTATAAGTTAATACAACCAAATCAACTAAATTTTTTTATAAATTTGTCAAATGGTACTTATTAAACATAATATTGACATGATGATAAAATATTATACATTACTTCTTTAAATCATGAAGATAATTTTTTTATCATTTTCACTTTCCTTCAATTATATATGTATTTTTTAAAAACAATAATAAATTTAAAATTTAATTATTTTTCTTCTCTTGTTTAACCGATACAAATTTTTATTTTGTTATATTAATTTAAAAAACAAGCTAATAAATAAAATATTTGCTTTGAGATTAATAACAACTTTAAATTTGAAATCAAAATAATATTTGAATATAAAATAAAGAAAATCATACAAAATTTGTGAATTAAATATATTTTTATCAATTGGTTGTGTAAACGTTTAAATACTTTTTCAATGATTATACGTCATTGATTCTAATAAGAATGAATTTTTTCATCATGTTCATTTTTATTCTTGTTATATCTGTTTTTTCAACTAATAGATCATATTTATTTATTTCAATGATTTTTGTATGATTATATTCAGTTTCATCAGATTCAATCTTACTTCTTTTAATTATATTTAAGTAGGCAGCCGGTACAATTTAATACATATAAATTTAGAAAAACGAAATAACAAATTGAAATCTCCTCAAAACTAAAAACTTCTACATTAATCTATTGTAATTCCAAGCCGAATATACAAAATATAATTTTTTCGATCATTTTTTCATAATATATTACATGAAATTATGTGGAAATATGTTTTGCATATGTGAAAAAATTAATATAAATTATAATTATTAGTTATTTAAAATTTTACATGAAAAGCCTTAAAATCAAGTGACATAAACTTGTATAACTAATATATAGTTTTATAGATAATAAATTAAATTTCTAATTAAAACAGAAATAATGAAGATTTTAATAGTATGTTTTTTATTATTAGAGATTTTTTATTCTTTAATTTACTTTCTTAATAGAATTAGGAAATTTTTTTAAATTTACAATTTTGATATATACGAATAAAATTTAATTTTTAAATGCTGATGTGAATGCCTTGAAAATAACATACCTTTAATTTTTATTCATAATATAATAGTTTTAATTAACAATTTTTTCTATATTGTTTTGTATTAATAATATAATTTTATAATTTACTTTTTTTAAAAAAATTTAGTTATTGATGTACACTAATAAAATTGACCTTTTAAATCTTATGTGGATGTCTTTAGAGGCATATAGCTTCTATATTTATTTTTCTATAAACATATTTTTTGTTAACTATATAATTTTAAATTTTGAAAATTTTTCTAATTTGAAATATTGATGTAGACCAATCAAATTGAACTTTTACATCATATGGACATTCTTAGAGGCATATAGCTTTTATTTTTTTTTTAATAATAGATTTAGAAATCAAAGCTGGAAGATCCCACACGAGGCAAGTGATTATGGTTTTAGGTTTACCGAATGTATTCGCATGTTGCTTGGTCAGCTAATTGTTACACTTTTGGTTAATGTTAGGTTGTTAAAACCCCATCAAATGCCATGTTATTTCAAAAATCTTCCTCGGATACCTCAATTTTCGGCTTAATGACAGAACTTCTTTCTCTATTTTCAGTGCTTCGTTTTTCAAAAGTGTCATGATTTTGGTCTTGCCTCCTTGTTTTTGAGGCTTACCGAATGTATTTGGATGCTTCTTGCTCAGCCAATTGTTACTTTTGTGCTTAATGTTAAGTTGTTAAAACCGTATCAGATGCCATGTTATTTCAAAAATCTTCCTCAAATACCTTAATCTCCTTCGTCTTAATGACGGAACCTATTTCTCTATTTTCAGTGCTTTTTTTTTTTAAAGTGTCGAGTATCAATCACTTGACATGTTTCTCGGATTGCTTGAAATTTATCATTCTTCTCAAATTCGGTGGTCAAGCTTATTTTTCGGTCTCTTTTTCGATATTAAAGCAGCTTGTAATGGTTTTGTTTTATATATCGTTTCATTATATTCTTTGTAATTTAGCTAATAGTTAAACTTATAGTTTAGCCAAGTTGGTTATTTTACGTTGTAATGATTCATTTTTTTGGGAAACCTAACTCTATTTTTTTGTTTTTTGTTTTTTTGTTTTTAATTTGAAATGGTTGTACACACAGAAAAAAAACTTAAAAATTATTATAGTTATGTGACAAAAATTTGGATACTAATGTAAGAATCTCTAAATATGTGTGTATACATCTAATTTAAATTTAAAATTTTCTTTTTTAATATTATTTATTTTAGTTTTTTATTATTAACAAAAAAATTATATATAATTTCTTTATCTTTAATAATTTTTAAAAATAATAATGGAATTTGAAAAAAAAAAAAATTTCAATGTTGAGGTGGACCAATTAAAAATTTATATAAATTTTTTTATTCAGCAATAATTAGAATTTGTAAACTTTCTTAATTTATTTAGTTAGCAATAATATTAAAAATTTGTAAACTTTCCTTATTTTTGATTGTTGATGTGGACCTCAGGATGCCATTTATAGCTTCAGATTTTATTTTTCTATAAATATTTTTTTGTTAACAATACAGTTTTAAAATTTGAAAATTTTCTTAATTTTAAATATTGACATGAACCAATAGAATTGAAATTTTAAATCATATGTGGACACTTTTAGAGGCATATAACTTCAGGTTTTATTTGTAATATATTTAGATATTAACGCTGGAAGATCCTACATGAGGCCCGTTACGGCAAGTGATTTTGGTTTCTCCTCCATATTTTGAGGCTTACGGAATGTATTCTGATACTGTTTGGTTCAGCTAATTGTTACCTTTGTGGTTCAGGTTGTATTGCTAAACCTTTGTCAGATGTCATGTTATTCCAAAGATTTTTCTCGGATACCTCAGTCTTTTTTGTCTTAATGCAGAACCTCTTTCTCTATTTTTAGTAGTTCGTTATTCAAAAATTTTGGGTATCAATCACTTGACATGTTTCTCGGATTACTTGAAATTTATCATTCTTCTCAAATCTGGTGGCAAAACTTTAGAGATTTTACGGTCTCTTTTTCAATATTAAAACAGATTGTAGTGGCTTTGTTTTCATCATATTCTTTTTAATTTAGCTAATAGTTAAACATATAGTTTAGTAAAATTGGTTCTTAATTTTACATTGTAATGATTCATTCTTTAGTGAAACTTAACTCTATTTTTTGCTTTTTTAAATTGAAATGGTTGTACACACATAAAAAAACTTAAAATTTATTATAGTTATGTGACAAAAATTTGGATGCTAAGGGCAGGATTATCGCGGTATACAACAGGGTTTCTAAATATTATTTTATAATTTTTTAATCAATTGGTTTGAAAACTTTTCGGGAACGTCTCTTATTTTGAGACTAAAAGAGACGTCTCTACTTTCTCTCTCCCTCTTTTCTTCTTCCACGTGGTCATTCTTCTCAATTTAATAATAAAAAAAAACTAAGAGATCCAAATAAGAGTATCAGCGATAATTATGGTCTAATGTAAGAGTCTCTAAATATATGTGTATACATATGTAAATAAATTTTAATATTTTATTTTTTCTTAGTTCTTTATATAATTGAAACATCTAATTTAAATTTAAATTTTCCTATTTTAAAATTATTTATTTTATTTTATTATTTTAAATTTTATATATAATTTATTCATCTTTAATAATTTTTTAAACAATAATAGAATTTAGAAACTTTTTTATTTTTAATGTTGAGGTGGACCAATAAAAAATTTATACAAAATTTCTTTATTCAACAATAATATTAGAATTTGTAAACTTTCTTAATTTTTTATTTAACATTAATATTAAAATTTAGAAATTTTCTTAATTTTGAATGATAATGTGGACCAATAAAATTGTTAATTTCCTTATTTAACAATAATATTAAAATTTAGAAATTTTCTTAATTTTGAATGTTGACGTAGACCAATAAAATTTATCTTTTACATCCTATGTGGACACCCTGAAAAGCATTTAGTTTCAACTTTTATTATTAATATATATATATATAAGATCCCCTATATTCCATTTTTTCTTTTCTTTTTTATTTTGTTAAAATGCCTATATATTCTATTTATTATTATTATTATTATTATTTTTCTAATTAAATGCATGCATCTAAAATTGGACCTAACATCTGGCGTACGAAAAAATCCCTACCACCCTTCAAAAGAGATAATATTCTCCATTATGTGTCTATTGAATTTAAACCCGAAAAACAAAAGAACAAAAAAAACTCATCCCGTGATTAATTACTCAATATATAGACAGACGAAGAAGTTATAATTCTTCTGTACATGCAATCTTGATAGATTTTTTTATTTTTTTTTAACGAATTGACTGTAAATAAGATATTACAGTCTACAAAAACTTGATGGTAGTGATTAATTGGGTTTTTATTACACTGGACAGATATTGATTCAGTTTCGGAGACAGAAGTAAGCACAAGACGATATCCAAATGTCATTGCAAGAAGAATCCAAACTTGTTGAACACCTATATAGCTCCTTTCAGAGTTACTGTGTCGAACGACGACGAGCTCTGCAAATGTTCTGCATATCCTCCATTATAATGCTTCCACATTCGAAAGCTTCTCGCTTGAATACCGAGCTTTGAGCAGCAGTCTAAAGCCGTACGTATAGTGCATGAATGATAAGTACTTCAACTTTCGTATGTGCTGCATAAACCAATATACTGTATACCAAGAAAATTAATGAGTTAATTAGAGCAAGTACATTAGTGAACCCCTCTTTGGGGTTCACCAAAATAAAATAATAGTTTTTTTTGTTTTGAGTTTATTGAAGAACCTGTGCTATAATTAAAATTCCATTGGTGAACTCTAGAGAAAGGTTCATCAAGAATAAAAAATAATTTTTGAAGAAGAAAATTAATGAGTTAATTAGTATCACATGCATGGATGATGGATATCATATCGTCTTGAAATATTTAAAAACTTTGTCATAAATTTTGACTAAGTAGTATTTAAAAAGTTTTTATATAGATACCGACAAGCTGTAATATAGAAGCGCAGCAAAATGGATCAACTATATAACCAACCTGCAACTTTTCTTTCTTTCGTTGGTTCGTTCTTTCTGTGTTAGTTTGAAGCAAAAGAAAGACAAATATTTTACTAAAAAAGGTACTTTTTATTTCACCTTTACTTTATCGCTTCGCCAACGAAAACGGCGTCGTATAGCGGGTAGTTGACAAATACAGTAGTGTTCCTTTCTTCTTCTTTCGTTGTTCGTCTTTTGAAGGAAGAACAACACAACGCAGAGAAGAAAAATGGACGATTCGCGGGATATATTGATGTCGACATTGATAGAATCTGGGGTGTTGATTCCCGGAGATTTCTCTTCCGTCGGAAAATTTTCTTCAGAAGCTTTGGTATCGATCTGCGCTCAGTTGCTTAATCTCATTAATCCATCGGCGTCGTTTTGCGATGACTTACCTGATTCTCTCCCCGAAAGGTTTAAGATCTGCACCGATATCGCTCTGTCTGTGACGAACCTAGGCTACATCGGCGACATGAGTTATTATAAGGTACCCTGTTCCCTCTTTAGATCGCAAGCAGAATGTGTCGGAGAATCTATGATTAAGCATATCTTCTTTGATTAAAGGAAACAACTTTAGGATTTAATATACCTAAAGGATCATGCTTTTACAGTGGAATTGATAGATGATGCGTGGTGGTCATAAGAACTGATTGCAGTGGAGTTTGTAGATTAGTGACAAACTAGCACCCATTCGTCTTTCATATATGAAGTATCGAATGAAGCATTTTTTTCTTTCTGCATTTGTGATTCTGCAATATCATGAGGGTGATGTGCTGTGAGACGATTCTCTAGAGCTGTGATAGTCGTTTTGGTTTAATCTGTTGAAGTTTACTTTCCGTTCTGGCTGTGTGGCTTTCCTTATCTGTTTGAAATCATGCTGAAACAGATTGTATGTGTTGCTTGCGGCAGTTTCTGCATCCATCCCAAGATGACTCGTATAGGTTGATTAGATTTTTGGTTGAGAGGCTTTCGGAGGAAAATGAAGGAATAAAAACTTCTACGGCTGGTGATATAGCTAGCAGGCCAAAGGTGGAGAATTTCACAGATATTTCAGATGACAGAATGGTGAAGGAGGACAATGATGAGACTTTTGATATGCATATACAGAAGGTTGAAGCTGTCCTAAAAGATCTTACTATGACTACTGAAATCTCTCATGCAAAAAGTTCTTCAGCCAATGGTTCAACCATTGTTGACCTCTTCTCCATTGCTGATGAAGCATCGGGTCTTTCTATGAGACACGAAGAAGATTCCTCTGTTGACCCGTCTGAGGTACTGTTTCCCCTGCTTATCTTGACCTTATCTCCTTTTACTGTACACGGGCTTATGTTTGAACATATACATAGGAATAGTGATGCCAAACCTTTATGGAGAAGAGAGGTTATCTCCTTTTAAGGCTTAACCTTTATCATTTTTATGCTTTGTAGACAAATTATGAGACTTTTGAGCTACAGAATCAGCATAGTTTACTCTTGGAGGAACTAGAATCTGGATGTTCAGAGCTCTGCAGTCTTGACAGTGAACTGGAGTTGTTGAAGATGGCTGCAGAGAGGTTATTGGATGATAAACAGCCGGGTGGGTCATGTCTCGAGCAGCTTAATCAACAAATAGTGGTCAAAAAGTGTAATATCATGGATCTTAAAAAGCAATGGTATGAATAACGATTGTTCTATAATTTTTCAGTTGAAAGCATTCATGCATTCAATTTCATGGACAACACAGGATATGATAACCTGGAATATATATATATATATACAACCCGTGTTTAGCATTACGAATATCACGATTATGTAGTATATCATGTCTTCCTCCAGGGAAGATGCGAGGCAGACTTTGGAAGCAAGAAAGCTACGTCTTTTGGACCAGCTTCATGTGGAGGAGTCAGAGGCTAAAGCGAAATTCCATAAGCTGAAAAAGACTGAACTGGAATTACAATCTGTCTCATCAGAAATTCAAAAGAGGTAAGCAGAGAACTCCTACCACATGACCCTTCATTGTCTATTTTGGAAATTAGAGATGTATATACTTCTTAAGTTCATTTGTTGAGTAATAACTGTGGGACGAATAATAAAAATCTATAAGAAGGAAAAAGAAATAAACAAGTGTTTGCAGGTCACCTCGAACAGGGTATTTCATTGACTCTCGTATCATATTAATGTGTTAATTTTTTTTTCCGACAGGGAAGATGAAAGATGTAGCCTGTACACTGAACTTGAGAGGCAGCCAAAAGCAGCGCCGCGGAAGTCTTATATACATGGGATTAAAGAAATAACAAAAAATAGCCGTAAACTGGACAGTGATATTCAGAGGATTTCAGGGGAGACGAGGGAGCTACAACTAGAGAGTAACTCAATCCAAGAACGCCTGCACCGATCATATGCTGTTGTAGATGAAATGGTTACAAGGTATGAATTTTTGCATTGTCTGGTCAAAATCGTCCGATATGCACCAAAAGACAAGGTGCCATGTCGCTCTGCTTTAGAGAACATGTATTTCCCGTTGTACGTACTGAGCTGATGAGGATGGTTTTTCTTTTTTTTTTCCTGGCAGGGAAGTGAAAAAGGATCCAGCCGTACGACAGGTCTACAAGCTTGTGACCAGTATCCATGGTATTTTTGAGCAAATTTCTGAAAAAATCCTTATGACTGATCGGTTAAGAAGAGAAACAGTCGACTACGAGAAAAAGCTGGGCTCCATCACAGCTCGGGGCATGAATCTGGAGAATTTACAAGCAGATCTCCATGCCATCAGAAAAGAGAACGAAAGTCTTGGGAAATAACTAATTCAATGTGGTTTTGAAATTACTAAAAGATGTACATTTTATAGAGTTTTTGAGGCAGTGTTTGTTTATAGAGTGAGTAATCTTTTTTCTCGCATACTAATGACTAAACAGAAGCAAAGGCTTAGTCATATATGATATTCCATATGATTGGGAATATCAGGCAAAACTATTCCACAGGGGAATACAGACAAAAGAGACATCATCAGTTTCACAAAAACTATTCCATAGGGATCTTCTTCCTAAGCATTCATTCTTCATGTATTGTTTGGATGGTCTCACACCAAAAAATCAGGCAAAACAATTTCTACTTTGAAGCACATCTTCTTCCCTCCCCTCTTGTAATTGTCAACCTAAATTCCACTGGGATGATATTTCCTAAGTATTTACACCCAAAAATCCAGACTTTAACACCTCTTTTACACGTTTGATGTGTATCTTTATAGCTTCTTCCCACCGGCCTACTAGTTGTTGACCCGGTTCGTTACAGCAACTTGAGGATAAGCAATGTGTGAGTGTCCTATGGGTTCAGCCATAGCCATTGTGGTGTGTGGCGGTGGCGTTACTGTCTGATATGTAGTTGGCTGAACGGCCATGGAGTGCGATGGTTGGTGTACTCCCATGAGCCCATTATGACCAGCCTGCACGACTGGGAAACCAAGTGGCTGACCTTGCAGGGCTAGGTTGTACATTGGATTCACCTGCAGGTTGCCAAGTCCCTGCCCAATCCACGCAGCTGCACTTTCAGTCTGCAACAACAATATCATGATTACCAATTAGTGTTAATAATACTCACCAACTACATCAATGCAAAGATAAAACAGAAAACAAACAAAAAAACTGACCATTGGTGGTGAAGTCTGTTCTTCACTATGGATAGAGTTGAAGGCGGTTGCAGATGGGATGTGAGTAGCAACTGTGGAAGAGGCATGTGGGGATGGGTTTGTGGTAGGAGGGTTCTCAGTGTCGCCTACTGGTGGTATATGGGTAGGTGCTGCTAGAGCAGCTCCTGGTGGAAAATAAGACTGCTGAGGAATCCCATTTGGGCTCAAGAACTGGTGAATGTATGGCGGTGGCATATAAAACGGTGAGTAATAAGGACCATAAGGGAAGAAACTGGGAGGGTATTGTTGCCTAAAAAGATGAGTCGCCTGCTGAGAGGCTGCTGCTATGGAGCACTGATCTGGCGGATATGATACTAATGATATAGCTGGAGCATTCGAATTTCCAGGCTGCAATTTGATAAAGCAGTTATCAGGAAAATCTGAAACAGATATTGTTTTGAGTGCATACATATTGACAAGATATACCACATGCCTGAGTCTCTGCGGCTTCCGTATTTACGGGTTGGCCTATTGCTGACAACGAAGGAACAAGACCATACACACTGAATGGGGCTTGGCCATACGCAATTTGATGAGTTTGTGTGTTCGATAAAACTTCCCCCTTCAGTTCATCTTCGACAGATGCGACAATATTATCTGAGCGCCGCACTAGCTCAGCTCCAGGAGCCGAACTTGAAATCCTATGATCCTTAACTTCAAAAAAAGATAATGCTCCTTCTCTGCACAAAAAGTATTGGTAATGAGCATGGAAATCATATCTGAACAATCTCACTCCACTGAGAATAGCGATTGCAGTAGATCATAACTAAAGAAGAGAACGTGTAGAGTCAAAGTATTTCAGTCACCAACCTGGCAGAAGCAACCCCAGGAATACCATTGGTAGTGGGAGAAGAATCTCCCTCATCATCCCCTGTCCCATGAGAAGACTCAAAAGTTGAGTCATCACCGCCACTAGCACCATTGTTAGAAGATGCCTCTTTCACAAGATTAGAATCAAAACTGCCAAACGTCAGACCATTTTGCAGTACTTCGGCAACCTGAAGGTGGAATGGAAATGTTACATGAGACCGTTTGCCAACATCTGACTTGAGAAGCGATTGAGCTTTGCCTTTATTAGATGCAGTCTCATTTTCGGTGGCTGTCAAAAAGAGAAACAGAGGCTGAATCAAATAACAAACCACATTTGCTGCACCATTAGTGACTTAACAAGATGACAAGAGAATGAAATTAAAGCTACGTCGATGCATACTAAAAATTCAAGAATAAAAAGGCCGAGATACCTTGATCTGCCTGGCTACTGCAATGAGACGCAGATATCAAAGACGGATCCTGAAGACCGAGTGTAGATGATTGCAACTCTGCTGGCTGGTTGTTCATAACAGGTTGTGAGATCTGAGCAGAAGTTGCATCTTGCATATGGTTTTGTACAACAGAAACTGAGACAGGTGCAGCAACTGATTCTGAAATTGCTCTAGACGTCTCTGGTTCAACTTCATCCACGGAGGAAGAAGTCGACTTGGAAGCACGATTTTTCTCTGCAAGTCCCTTGTTCACAGTTGCAGTGAAATAATCCTGAGCTTTATGATTGCTTAACCCCCTAAAAGGTATCCTTTAATCGTGAACAACTTTATAGGATTAAAAAGAAAAAAAAAAAAGCTCCCAGAGCTGAAAAGAATCACACACAGCTGATAAGTAAAAATTACTTTTTTCCACGAGGTACTGCGAGATTTCTTGCTTTGTTAGTGGCAGGAAGAGAAACTCTAGGACCTCCTGATACATGGTTAGCTCCAATCTCCCTTTTATAAGATGCACTTCTTCCATTACTTGCATCTGCATATCAACAAAGAGCTAAGAACAGGGAAGAGGAAGAAAACTACACTTGTCACTCAACGGTACCAGTAAAGGAAACAAAAAAAACTACCTTGATGAGTGTTACTTGAAGCAACGTTCCTCCGGCCACTTAGGTCACTTCCTTGGGTAATTGGCGCTAGATTCTGCAACAGAAAATAGACAGTAATCATATGAGATGGTGAAAAGCTATAAGAGCAAGTGATGGACCAGGATTGCAAAGTGAATCTACAGATCATGCACCTGATAAATCTATAAGAATAAATTAAAAAAACCAAATAAGGGGTTCATAACAAACAAAAAAAAGAAACACTTGCCTCCTTCTTTTTCTCCCTTTTACTTTTCACCTCATGAAATGTATCTGCAATATTTCAAAAATGATTGAGGTACATTAGAACAAACAAAAGCGCCACGAAAACCAAAGTACAAAAAGCAACAGTTTTGATGAGCAAAATGAGAAGACAATTTTGAAAAATGCTGACATATAGAAACAGAAGAAATGATCCATACTCAGATGCCGACTAGAATCATACTAGTACGAACTCTAAACAGTACTAAAAAAAACAAAGATTCCAAATTCGAATAGTTCCAGGCACCAAAGAGACACTTATCCCATGATCTTCCGAAACAGAACAAAAAAAAAATCAACAAACCCTATCGGACAGACGAAATCGATGAAATGCAAAAGAAAAAACCAAACCGCAGAGGCCCATTCCATTAAACAAAATACATACAACAAAAGAGGAAACCCTAAAGGAGCAGTACCTAAAAAGAGGAGCTTCTGGGCGGTCTCGTGAGGATCATTGAAGGATTCCTTATAGACGGCGAAGATATCCTCGTCGGAGTGCTGCTTGCCGGTAATCTCTCTGATACTCTGAAGGGTTTTGCGGAGATGGTGCGGAATCGAAACCCTAGAGGAGCCGCCATCGGCGAAGCTGTTCATGGTGTGTAATGGGGAAAGAGAAGCGGGAGGAGAGAGAAGCAAAACCAAACCAAAAAAAGAAGACAACAATTGAAATTGAAATTGAAATTGAAATTAGGACTTGCTTTGAAATTACAATAACAATTCACAGAGAGTGTAATTTCTTTCTTATATAACTCTCATTGTCGGTAACTTTATACGCTGACGTCACTTCACAACACTTCTTTTAGACTCACGCGCCGTAAATTTAAAGTTTTGTTTTTTAACCCTAGAGTAGGCGATTTAGCAAGATTTTTTTTCTATTTCGCCCAAAAAAAAGAGCAAGATTTTTAATTTACAACATTCACACCATTCACAACATTCACATGAATGGTCTAAGTCTAAGGTTACTCAACTTCTTCTCCCAAAATTACATTGCAGCAAGAATGCCATCATCGTCTAAGTCTCTTGCTTGCTCTGGAAAGTAGCGGTAAGAACTTGGCGAGTCTTCTCTTTGCACAACTCATCAACTCCTGACATTCAAGGTACTCCATGGTGACTCGATTATACCAGCACAAAGGGCAGTGAAAGTTGCCGTCTTCATCAAGGTTAACCGGGGAATTCAAGCATTCCCTGTGAACTCTAGCTGCACACTCGCTTCTGCAACATATCAACAAAGTTCCTTCTTTTTCACATTTCCAGCATACATTCTCAGCTCGACCTCTAACCATATCTGACTCTTCATCGCTCCCACTGATTAGCCACGTCCCATCTTTTGTACATTTTACACGTGTATCCTCTAGCCTCATTCTTTTACAACTTAGAGGAAATGTCCCGCCAGTATCGATCGCATTTTCTTCATCTTTCTCGTTTGTCTGCATTGGATCATCCTTATCATCGATCAAGATTGCTTTACCCTTGTCGTTTATATTCGTCTGCTCCAAACCAATTTGCACTTGCTGCTCATCTACCGGCTTCTCCTCACATACATCCGTGTGCAATGTTCCATCATCTCTAACAAGTGGGTCATTTGCTTCCATGGGAGGAGCTGCACTTGTCTGATTCTCCATTAAACTCACATCTCTCAGCTACAAGATCCAAACGAAAAAGAGAGAGATTTGTGCATCGTTGTTTCAATATAGTTTTGAAAAGGAAAAGCATGAAACAAAGGAAAGGTGAGGTATAAGAGAGTTTTACCTTCTCCAGTGCACATTGTGGCAAAGACATGTTCTTGTGAGCAATAAATGGAAGAACATTGAACTTTGATAGCTCCGGCATTCCCGTTCGTAAGCTTGATATTGGAATCTCAACATTTGGGAAACAAACTACTAAGATTAGAAACTAATAGATTCCTCTAATTCTACTACTGCTAATAGATCAAGTTAGTTTACGGTTTTGCTCATACATCTTCACAAATGGCTTTGAGAACATCGGTGTTGCTCAAAGATAAATCGAACTCAACTCTTGACTCAGCGACACCGACGCCCGTAGCATCATCACTCTTGCTTGGATCAAACATGAACTCCAAGATTCTAAGAGACAGGAGTTCATTAATCCTCCTCCCATAGTCATTTGTGCAGGGATAACCCATGTTCATCAAATCTGAAGCAACAGAGATTTTCTGTTAACATACACAAAAACGGTCCATATGTAAAAGAGGGGACTTTCCAAATCTAAAAGTTACCGAGTATGCAGCGTAGATCCTTGACGAATTTGGCTACATATTCGATACACCAAAACCATTCAGCGATTTGAGGGGGTAGAGATGAATATTCATCAATCAGATCCTCAAGACTCAAATCAGAAGCTCCAGCGTCATCACTCTCTTTCTTCTTCTTCTTCTTCTTCTTCTTCTTCTTCTTCTTTCTTCCGTCCTCTTTCCATTTCCCACCACCCCATTCGTACAACGGGTCAATCCACGGTGGCAGTAACCTGCCTCCTCCGGAAGTTACCGTTTCTTTGTCTGAAACTCTACTTTCGAGTCCTTCGGGATTCAAAGGAGGAGGAAACTCCCAATCGCCCAAAATCTGTGTACTCTCTGTGTCCGAATCCTTCTCCATTCGGAAATGGCGCACTGTAAACAAAACAAAAAGAAAGACTTTACGCTTACTTTTGATTTGTAGGATTAGACAACTTAGAGACACGTTAATACTGATTCCAGAAAACCTAAATGGCTAAACCCTTTTCCTCTAAAACCCTCAATTCCAAGTTTTCAACATCACAATCCCACTAAAGACAAGCCTAGAGCTCCGATGCACTAGATTTAAATTCACTGATGCGAAAACGCTATCGAACATACTATAGAGACAGCGACAGAGAAAATGTAAAGTATTTGAAGAAAGCAAAAAGGGAATCACCAATAGGCTTAAAGCAGCGAGGAAGACGAATTCGAGGAACCCTAATAGCGAATTTGTGTGCAAGCTTTCAGATTTTAAACAGAAGAACAAAAGCCCAGAAACAGAGAGAAAGAGTATTTAGTCACCAATATTTGTTGATTCGCAAATCTCCCGCCTCGAATTCGAAAATTCGAACTCGACCTTCTTCTTCGGTCACACCATCCCGAGTCGATTGCTTAAAGACTAAAGAAGAAAAGATAACTGTATTTGGGCCGTATAGTGCCCTTAAATAACTGATCCACACCGTTGAAATTCCTGCATAATATCGCAACCGTCAAATTATATTTAACTTTTTTAAAAAGGCATACTAACTAAAAAATGACATCACAATAACTTGGGCCTGCGCCATTAATGTGGGTCCATTCTCATGACTGATCTCAACGGTTGAAATGAAAATGATTTAAACAAAAATGCTGCGTTACAAGTTAATCAGATGATTCAGATCATCATTTTCTAAAAACTGTAGTTATAACAACAGTTCTTACTCTCAACCAATCAGACCACATGTTTAAGAATTCTACAAAACCCTCTCACCGAGGTAGAAGCTTCTTCTTAAACTCAGTCAACAACAATTTGTTCCGGTATACAAATAAATAAATGTGTGTAGGAATCCATGCGATCGTAAAATCCGTATAACAGCTCAAACCAAAATCATCAAGAATTCCAAAATTTTCAACTCAAGATTCTGAGTTAACAAGGAAGGCTTGTTGTTGCTTGCTCACTCATCATCCGTGCCAAAATAGCGGTCTCCAAACTCGCCCATGCCAGGAACGACTCGGAACTCATCGTTTAAACCGAGTTCTATCTCAGAAGTCACAATCTTTATCCTCGGGAACCTTTTGCACACCACATTTACTCCTTGAGGTGCCTGAAGAAACAGAACCAGACTTGTTGTAAGCTTCTTAGCCTATCGAGAGAAGAAGCGAGGTTTCAGTTTATGTTTTGGTTTTCAACTTACAGAAATGAGATTGAGAAAGATGATGTTGGTTTCAGGTACGCCTTTGCTTATGAGCAGTCTTATAGCTTGCACGGCCGAGTTTCCTATACACACACAAAATACGATCTTGTTCATATCTTGTCTTTATACAAAGAGTAAGACCGGACTCTTGGCAGAACAATAAAAAGCAGACCTGTCCCGAGGATTGGGTCCAGCAAAAGAACGTGTCTTTCCGAAATGTCTGAGGGTAGCTTCTCGTAGATAAGCTGCCGGTTGCCATTTGTTCAGAGACATATTTTGCCAGGAAGCAGTTAGGACAAAGTGATGATGAACAGGCAAAAGAACACAAACCTGCTGACCGTTGTCGCCTTCTCTGTGGATCAGAATCTTCCCAATCTTGATGCCTTTGCAGCATGCTCTTAGAGCATTCTCCATACTCTCACCGCTGTTTATCAACAGTTTCGAAGACGAAATCATTTTATCTGGTCTTTGATAATTACTATCTGTCTGTGTTGAGTATTTGTGGGTGTTTTTTTACCTTCTGATAACCGAGACACCACACAGCCTCTTACAGAAGTCCACACCCGAATACACAGATCCTAAAATTACAGAAAACAAAAGAAAAAACAATTTTAACAATTGGAGATTTCTGCTGCACAAGATATAAGAGCATCTCCAATGTATGACTGCATATTTTTCTTTATTTTGGAGTAACTCCAAAATGGAGTTGGGTTTAAACTCCATTTTTTACTCCATTTTGGAGTTAGAATTGGAGTAGGGTTGGAGATAATCTTGCTGCAAATTCTATTTTGCAGTAAAATTTGGAGTAGGGTTGGAGATGGTCTAAGTGTTTCATTAGCTTACCTGTGGGAGTGACCACTTGCTTTTCTGCGAAGGGAAGGTGCCCGAGGCCGTGCTCAACGACCTGGCGCAAAGACATTATTAGGACCAACTTAGTAAAAAAAAAATAACACGAAACAGAAATCTAATTTTGCCACCCACCAAACGAATCAACCGATCCGAGTAGAAGATGAAGTCATGCTTTGTTGTTTTAGAGTCTCTGATTAGAGTGTGCATCCCTCGTATCTGCAATCAATGGCTAAAAGGATCAGTCACTAAACAAGAAAAACGATTGATTGCCGTTGGTTAGACGAGAAAGGGAGGGAATTAAGAAAAAACCTGAAAAGTGGACTGAATGACATAAAGATTTGGATATATTTTACAGAGATCATGTTGACCGAGCTTCGTGTGGATGTGTTGCACGATCAAATCAATAGCAACATGGTTGTCACCACCACGGGGAATTATTATATCTGCGTATTTCTTTGTTGGGAGTATGAAATCCTCAAACGCTGGCTTCACAAACTTTGAGTACTGTTTCAGAGTAACCCAAAACAAAACATACAAACAAGAGTCAGCTTGACGTTGCTGTGACAATATTGAAGAGACTCTTTGCAGAGACGGTAACCTGGTCAAGAACAGTCGCGATATCTCTGGCCTTCTCAACAGTATCGCGTTTAATCCTTCTTGCTAAACGCACATCGGCATCTACATATATAGATAACGCCAATTATATAACCAACATGAGTATATACTATATACACTTGTTACATGCAATGCACAAGTACTCTAGAGTCTCTGCACATATGCTACGGATTGGCTAGATATGTGTAAACAGTTTCGACGTGGGAAAGACCTGCATCTACAAATATCTTCATGTTCATCAAATCTCTCACACGAGGGTCATGGAAAATGAGTATCCCTTCAAGGATTATAACATCAGAAGGATTTACCTGCGAATAATATCATTAATAAAGAGAGTTATTAGAATATCATTAATTCTTAAAAAGTGAAGCGTTCTGAAAAGAAAAAGCGCATATAGATAGTAACGAATACACAAGAGAGCTTATCACTCCAACATGAGTTCAATCTCCAGAGAAGAGATGCAAACTCCAAATAGTCAGAACCAAGTGACCATTCGACGACGATAAAGTAAAGATGCTAATTAAGAGGCTCCCTTACCCTTCTAGGTGGAAAAACATTGTTCTTGTAACTTTTGAAGTCATAGTTGGGGATATCTACAGCTTGTCCTTTTCTTAACTTGTCCATGGAACACAATAATTGCTCGGTATCGAAAGCGTCTACGAGACAGGGATCAAACTTCATATTTACAAGCAAGCATATGATAGATAATTTTGGAGACTCAAAAGGCTATATAAGCGACACAGAACAGTCGGTATTAGATTTAGAGACTTGCTAACCAGGATGGTCAAAATTGTAATCATGAACTCTTGCAAGCTCCTCTTCATTTACATTATGGTAGAAAGAATCCTGCAAATTGATAAGATCGATCAAGCTCAATGTATTACATATATGACCTACTACAACCACTTGTGATCTCTTATCAGAAGTAAAAACCCGTAAATCAACATTTATTCAGAATTTTCGAGTACAAGCACCTGATTGACAACAACGGCTCTCTGATCATGCAGTTGCTGCATAATCAGATCGCAGACAGTTGTCTTCCCGGATGCTGCTCCTCCAGCAACTCCTGAAAACAACACAAAAATCAATAAGAATCCACATCCTATTCACATTTTTTCTGATTCTAACTATCCTCAGCTGGAGGTAAGATAAAATCAGCAGCATCTCTCACCGATAACAAAAGGTTGCCCATGTTCGTCTTCATCTTCAGCAGTAGCCATTTGGTCTGACCTAGTTGAATCTAAACCATCCGTTTGATGAAATCCTGAGAAATGAACCTTTGTGGAAGTTTCTATCATATCAACAGTCGATTTTGAAGCCATTCCTACATCCAAAAATAAAAAGCCAAACATAGATACGTTTTAAAATCACATGGAAACGCCAATAAGGAATACAGAAGCTATCACCTTTTGTTTGTCACCATCTAGGAGTAAAGGAAGAACAAAAAGGACTCCTGCTTTTTTTGCTTTCAGTAAAAAAAAAATTCCTTTCTTTTTAAAAAAAAAAAGAAGAAGAAATATCCAACTTTTGTAGTCATTTAGATTCCACAAGTGCCAATGCCGTGATACCCATTTCCTCAAATCCCGTTGAAAACACAAACCAAGCAACAAAAAGGACACTTGAAACGCGTTAGCACGAATCAAATCAACCAGATTCATCTTAAAAATGTAACGCCGATCCTAAACGGAAAACGCGATCATTTCCCGGGGAAAAGAAAGATTATGACGGAGAGCAAACAGAGAAGAAAGACAGAGATAGATAGATCAAATCCATGCAGAAAATGAAAACCCAGAACCAGAAGAAACGTTCATTGATGGATCATCGAAATCAATAACCGAACATTCACAAGAAGAAGAAGAAAAGAAACTCACGAAATTTAAAAAAAAAAAGGGATTGAATTAGCTTCCAGATCACCGATGAGCTACACAAAAGCTTCCAGTTTCAGATAAAGAATCCAACATAGATAGAGAGACACGCACGAGCATTGCCTGTTAAACTCGATGCACAGACATAAACTGAGTTTTATACATATAGTAACGTATATATATATATATATGTGTGCGGTGAAAGAGGAAGGGAGGATGCAGCGGCGGAGACGGGTTATTTACGAAAACCGGGAAGTGGTTTCTAGCTATTGACGATACTACCCTTCCCAATGCAATGTATGTAACTGTCGAATAATGTGTTTTCGTTACTATAAAATATTACTTATAATATATTTATATTTATTTTGTTACCAAAGAAGAACTATTTTTGGATCGCATCTGCAATATATTTTCGTTTTTTCCATTTCTATTCATTTTCATATACGTAACCTCCTACGTTTCCAAATTTTCGCAAATGCCTGATTAGCTCTGAATATTTTAACCATATAAAAACATCATTTCATCATTTATAGGCATTTTTCAAATCGGTGTATAGTTTAAGGTAATTTATTTCTCACATACAGTCTTGGGGGTTATTTTTGGGCCTTGGGGGTTGCCGATCGAAAAATAGGGGGGTGAAATTTTGGTATTTCGATTCTTTGGATCCTCTTTTGTAATATTCTCAGAAATGAGAGGTGTTGTTATTATATTGGTAAATTGGTAGGCGTTAACACGCAATAACGCCTTTTAGGGATAAGAAAAGTAAGCCAATAACGACGACGTTTCTTGGGGTTTCGAGGATCCAACTCTCACGGGTACAGTGGTGGTCATGTTTTCGTCTTCAACTAGGTTAATCGTATCGGGTTTTCACCGGACTCGAACCCTAAAATCGCCGGTAAATCCTCCGAGACTCTTACTATCCGTGCCTAGATTCTTCCATTCCGAGTCGAAATCGAGCGACAGGAGAATCGGGATGAGCAGCGTAGAGAAAACCGGGTCGGAATCGGGGGCAATCGAGAATCGGGCGAGCAGGATGAGGGAGAAGCTGCAGAAGGAGCTCGAACCGGTGGAGTTGGTAATCGAGGATGTGTCGTATCAGCACGCCGGTCACGCCGGTATGAAAGGTAGAACCGACGAAGAGACGCATTTCAACGTGAAGATCGTCTCAGAGGGATTCCAAGGAATGAATCTGGTGAAGAGGCACAGGCTAGTCTACGATTTGCTCCGGGAAGAGCTCGATAGTGGATTACACGCGCTTTCCATCGTGTCCAAGACGCCGTCCGAGTCCAATCGTTAGGACAAGGTCTATGAAGAGTTTTGTGTAAAAACTCTCCCTTTATCATTGATGTTTTCCGAACCCAATTCAAAGGCTCTGCTTTGGATTTGGATTTGATTGCGTTTCGTGTTTCCGGAACCCACAACCAAATTCTTCATCTTTACATACGTTTGAGGGTGTTGATGTTTCTTATGCTTTACTTTCAGTCTTTTCTCGAGATTTGGCGAATTCTCAAGAGAATTTAGCACCAATGTACATTAGGAAATGTAACACTTTCATTCTTGAAACGGTTCTTGGTAAAGGGAGGCAAAAAAATTGTTAGTGAAAAAACTGCAGGGAAATTGATAGTGAAGAAGAAAGAATATTGGATCATGATTATGTAAACTAAACGGTATCAAGATGGTTTTTTTTTATAATGGAATCTTCTGTTACCACAGAAAGTCAGAAACTATAGTCTATAGACTTATGAAACGTTAAGCTAGCTCCGATTTAGGTTAGGTAGCCTTTGAATTGAAACACATTCATGTCATGTGTTCTCTTCCATGCTACAGCATGTTTTTCAAAACGCTAGAAACAGTACGCTCTTTTTTTCAATCATTATTACTCGAGACCTGTCTATGGGCGTAGATGTTCCTTTTCTTGCAAGTTGCAACAAAGATTATGCTATTACTTGCTCTATGGATGTAAACCAAAAACCAATTAGTGAAGGCCTGTTGGGTTTCGTTTTGTGATGTAAACCGAATCGTCATTTCTATTTTTGATAGGAAACTGAATCGTCCCTCTTCTTTAGTTTAGCTCTAACAGTAACGTTACTTGCTACATTTTGAAACTCAAAAATAAAATAAACCCAGAAAAAAAAAACACTGTCCTCCAAAGTATCCCTCCAATGGCGACGACGGTGCTTGACCTCTCGAAGTTTATCAGAGACGATAATGATGATGATGAAGTATGGGTCACACACTATTCATCAAACCAGCAAATACTTCTCGTCGGTGAAGGAGATTTCTCATTCTCCTGCTGCTTAGCCACTCGCTTCGGCTCTGCTTCCAATATCTGCGCTTCCTCTCTCGATTCATACGGTAACATTTCCTTTGCACTCTTTCTTAGAGTTTCTAGGGTTTTGATTTTCTTTTTCTCGTGAATTTTCTATGGCGAGAGTTTAGGTTTTTTTTTAATCTGTGGGTTGAATCGAAATCAATTTCTAGGGTAAACAGCTACTTATCGTGGAGCTTATTGGTTTCAAGTATTGCATTGTTCTGTTTACATATAGCTTATAAACCTGGTAAAAAGGTTTTGGCTTTATTAACTCTGATCTCTTGTGCTGTTTCATGTCTCGTCTCGTCTCCTATGGTAATTGTACGTAGCAGATGATGTGGTTAGGAAGTACAAGAAGGCAAGATCAAACCTTGAAACTTTGAAGAGGCTTGGAGCAATCCTTTTACATGGAGTTGATGCGACCAAACTGCAATTCCATCGTCATCTTCATTTCAGAAGATTTGACCGAGTCATCTTCAACTTCCCGCACGCCGGTTTCCACAGCAAAGAGTCCGATCCCTGTCAAATACAGTGAGTGTCATGTTTTTCTTCTTTTGACTCAAATTGTAGACTTTAGGGAATTTTTTTAAAAAGATTATCACATTATCTTTGCCTGTGTGTTGTGTAGGAAGCATAGGAAACTAGTGTTTGGATTTTTCCATGGTGCAAGCCATATGCTAAGGGCTAATGGCCAAATACATGTCTCTCACAAGAACAATGCACCTTTTTGTCACTGGGAGCTCGAAGAACTCGCTAGCAGATGCTCTCTTGCGTTGATTCATTGTGTGGCATTCGACAAGTGCAATTACCCTGGTTATGAGAATAAGAGAGGAGATGGATCCAGATGTGACCAACCTTTCCCTTTGGGAGAGTGCAGTACTTTCAAGTTCAGAGTCTCTAGCGTGGCTAAGGAGCTTTATGCAGAGAAGGTGAAATGGAGACGAGCAAAGGAACGAGAATCAAAGTTTCCCCAAGCCTCATCTGATCCTTTGTATCCCCTCCATACACAATTTCAAGGTGTTAGCCAAAGACCTGTTTCATTGGATGTCAGCTATCACCACCAGGACCATAATAAGCTTAGGCAACTCCAAGATCCTTATGAAGATGCTAGCTTTATTCAAAGATCAGCGTCGTTTGCTCTGGAAAGAAACCATGCCCGGTTTCAGGACACTCTCAGATACACTGAAAGAAGCAGCTTCCAATATCATGACTTTCCTTTTCTAATTAGTCATCATCATCATCAAGAACGATTCCTTGAATGCTCTAGCCGCTTCAATGAGGTTATTTATAACAGGGAAGGACAACGAATGTTGACAAGGACGAGCTTTCTTCATCCGTACAATGGAGAATCACCAGAAAGACAACGCCTGCTTCGTCAAGACTTTCCGGTTCAAGCTAGTCAAGAACCGTACTTTGAACGCTCTTACCGCTTCAATGAAGTTTATAACTGGGATGGACGAAGGATGTTAACACGTACCAGCACAAGAACAAAGCTTGACTAGGCAGAGCGACCTCAACATTTACACTCCACAACACTGGTAAAAATCATTATTCTCTGTGTATATTATGAAATCGAAAGCTAAGTCGATATGAAAAGTTTTCCAGGTGAGTGATCTTCAAAGAAGTTGTCATGATAACTTTGATGGAAACAAGGTGACTGAAGCTTGGACTTGGTAACAAATCTTTAAGAATTGCAGTTGGCTAACTATATTTTGACAGCTAAAAACCACGATGATCTCAGTTATGTAGATGATAATTAAGGGTAATTTTTTGTGTATGTATTTAGTTTTTGGAGAATGTGCGTGGTAGAAGTGGTTGTGAGTCTTGCAAATTAAACGGTCTCTCTTGATATCTCCACTCTAAGACACTACCTGGGCCAGATAGTTTGGTACGACACGTTTTTGTTTGTGTTTTTACTTACTTTGCTATCTGGTCAAACAGCTTAATATATGATTTTTATTATTCCGCGTAGACTAGTATAAACTATAAAGTATAAACTTGACCTTAGCCGACAAGGCGAAGACGATCACTATCCGAGCGACATAAACTCTAATCAAATCAAATCAAATTATATAAGCAAGTAATTGAATAATGAAAGTGTCAGGGTAACTGCAAGGAAATTGATAGTGAGAATAAATAAGAATAATAAAAATGCAACTGGTGACTTTCAAGGAATTTGCTTATAGAGTTACTACGAATCAAATCCAATTTGCGTTTAAACTCTTATACCTATTATAATGATTAACGACCAATAGCATAAATTTCATACTAATTAATAAATTTTAGAGAAATATGTTATAACCTTAATTGAGAGTTTTGTCAATACTATAAGATTGTTTAAATTTAATGCAAATTCTATAAATTATTCTATGATCTAAAACAGATCATCCAGAGAGAGAGAGAGAGAGAGAGAATTTTCATGTTATTTTTTTTTCCAAATTAGGATTCTGGATATTTCTCATTCATTGCGTTTGACAATTGCTCTCAGTATATATAATCAGTAGATGATATGACATTCAAAAATCCCTATATCGATCCGAGTATTCACTATATTACATTTAAAATCTTGGTTTCTCTCCTTACTCAAAACCTCATATCGGAATCTTCTCTCCGGCAGTAAGATGAGGGTAAGTAAAGTGCATTTTTTTGTTTTCCTCATGTCTTCTCTGTGGTGAACCTACTTTCTTGCAAAACATGGAATATATGCATATATTATATATGTAGGCGAATTTTGAAAATATTTGTTGATGAGTTCTATAATTGGTTATATCATCGTTTATTTCTTCAGCAAAGGATAGTTTTGAAGATGGATATGAGTGAGAGTGAGAAATCAATGAAGAAAGCTATGAAAATCGCATCTGGAACATCTGGTTAACATCTCTATATATATTTGACTTTTTTTTTTTGCAAAAACTTGCAAGCCAAGTTAGGTCATGTGAATCGTTTCAAGCAAGGTTTTGTTAATTTATACGTGCGTGTAGGTGTGAGATCGGTCTCGATTCAGGGACAGAACGATCAGTTGGTTATATTGGGAGAAGGAATTGACACGGCAGAGCTAACACGTGAGCTCCGGAAGAAAGTTTGTCACACGACCATCGTCGCCGTTCAGGCCGCGCCGCCGCCGCCACCGCAGCAACAGCGACCACCGCAGCCGAATCATATGGGACATCAGAACGAGATGGCTCCGGCGAGAAGATGCATATGTGAGATACCGAATTCGGGTTTCTGCGGATTTTGTAGATCTATGAGTGAAACCCCTTACCACCAGATGATAGCTCCGCCGTATCCTCCTCCGGTGAACTATGTTGGTTACCGTGATGATCCTGATGGTTGCAGAATCATGTGATGTGAAACTACTTCTGAGTGATTTTTGTTTGTTCTTTTTTTTTTTCTAATTTTTCTTAGTTTTCTGATCACGTTATTCTGTAGATACAAAATTTAAAAATTCGTGGTGCTGTAAATATTATGTGACAGACACTCTAGGAAAAACAGATTTTTCACTAAACCCAACAAAACAAAAAAAAAAAGAGAGTGAAATTTAATGTTTCTTGATCGAAGTTACACTCAAACTATGTAAATGTTCAACAACAAAAAAAAGTTACACTCAAACAAACTAAATAAAAAAAAAAATTATATGTGTGCTAACACTCGTTCATCTTGGTCGTACTTTGTCACATGTCATCAAGTGAAAACTTCTGCGTCTTAAAAGCAAATGTAGAGAAGAAATCAATTTCAAATTCTTTTCAAATAAAATATTAAGCTGTTTTTTCCTGTCTCAAGTTGTGCTTATGTATCTATCTATAATGTAATGAAGTCAAGTCCACTATTATAAACAAAATTTAAGGACTTTGCTTTGGTGAATGTCCAAAGACTAGTTCCTCGAAATATATGTCAACATTCCAAAGAAAATTGGTTTAATTCCCACAGAAGTAAAGTAATTATTATTATTATTTTAGAATACTAAAAATATTCCTTAATCTTTACGTATATTCTCGGCCTCAAACGCGGGAAACGTGATCGTGTCAATTAGTCAATATCAATTGTTTTTCTTCCATTTTTGGTAACTCAATATCAATAATCATTCAGTGCGGGAAAATCTCAAAAGCTGAAAAATAAAATAACAAAAAGGCTCGATTCTCAGTGTAAGAAACTTTAAGGAAACTACAGAAAGGAAGAGAAATTGTAAATGATGAAACTTAATTGTTTGCTGTAAAACAAAAACAAAAAAAAAGAAGAAGAAGAAGAAGAAGAAGAAACTGGATTGATTGAAAAGATGCCGAATTAAAACAGAAGAATATGTATACTGCATGAACTGATAAATAAATAATTATACTACAAAATACAATCTTTATTCTTTGACCTGAAGCATTTGGTTTAGGTCTGGATCAGAACTAGCAGCATCTTAGCCCATATCCTCATTCACGCGAATAGGTCCAATCAGCCGGTAGGCTCATTTACCTATCGGCCCAATCGGTTGTTATTTACTTATTTGATTTTCTGTTTTGCAGTTGCAAATTTCCCGCCGAATTTTAAAGGTAAATTTTGTTTTCCATTTTAATACAAACAAAACTACTAAAATTAGAATTCTTCAACAACAAACAAAAACGATAAACAAAATTCGATTTATCGTTTTGGAGGTTTCATATTTATCAAATATAAAATCTTTCTTCATCAACCACATTCCTCAAATCAAAACCCAAAAGATGAAGCAATTCGCCGGACTTCTCTTCCTCTGCATCGTTCTTCTCTCCTCACTCGCCGGAAATGCTGATTCCGATCTGATTTCCGATCTGTGCAAGAAAACCGACGACCCAAAACTCTGTCTCTCGAGCATACAGTCGCGTCCCGAGTCCGGCGAGTTCGCAGCCACCAGCAACCAGATCGAGATCATAGCTATCTCCGCCGTGTCGGCAAACGCCTCCGCCACATCCGCCTACATCAAGGAAAAGCTCAGCCGCGAGGATCTTGAGCCGGCCACGGAGGACACGCTCGAGGACTGTCAGAAGAACTACCAAGACGCCGTTGAGCAGCTCGACGACTCCATCTCCGCCATGATCGCCGACGCACACGCCGACGTCGACGTCTGGCTAAACGCGGCGATCAGCGCCGTAGAGTCATGTGGGAACGCGTTGGAGTCACGCGCCGGGAACGATGTGGAGCTTTCTCAGAGGAACGAGGTTTTTCTCAAGCTTTGCAAAAACGCTTTGGTGATTAACAAGATGTTAACTTGAGCAGATTTAATTTTAATCTCCAAAAATTTGAGAGATTAATAATATTTGGTTCTTCTTTTTTTTTCAACTTGTTGTTGCTATGATTAAGATGAGTTCGTTTGCATCAAAGAAAAACATCAAGAGCAGATTGTTTTATTATTGTTTCATGATCAAATACAATGTCATTTTTTTGTCAACCAAAGAAAAACTAAAACCTAAATTAGAAATAGTGAACCCAAGCATAATATTATATTTTATTTATTTTTATTTCTAATAAATATATATATATATATTATTTATTTGTTTTATTTCTAATAAATATATAATAGTGAACCTAAGCATAATATTTATTTGTCTTATTTTCAGAATTTTAAACTTTGATCTCTGAATTTTAATTTTTAAATCCAAAATTCTAATTTTTATACTCTAAATCATAATCTATAAACCTTAAAAAAATTAAAATAAAAACTAAATCGTAAATTAGAATCTTTATATATATTATTTATATATATATATATATATATATTTAACAAAATCTTTGATTGAATATTTAATTTTTTAATTTTAATTTTTTAATTTTCTTTAAAAATAATATTACATGGCAGATTCTCATTGGCTTAAATGAAAGAGGGTGAATGAATGAATTCACCCATAGGGATGAACCCAAAAATTTTCCATAATTTTTTAATTTTAATTTTTTAATTTTCTTTAAAGATAATATTATATGACAGATTCTTATTGGCTTAAATGAAAAAAGGTGAATGAATGAATTCACCCCTAGGGGTGAACCCAAGAATTTTCCTTGTTTTTATTATTGTTTCATGATCAAATACAATGTCATTTTTTTTTGTCAACCAATGAAATACATGTTTTGACAAGAAAAAAAAAATACTTGTTACCATTTTAAAACCCGACCCGAATGGACACTGTCTATTGGGCTTAAATTGTGAAAGCCGCTATTTGGTTTATAATCGGGTCCATCTTATATTTCCAATTGGTTTAATTAGATGATAATTTTGTCTGGATAAACTTTTTTGAAAAAATATCCATTTCGATCAAATGAACAAATGAACAATTCAGTTTCTATCCATTTATTTGGTCTAATTAAGATGAAATTGGATCGATTTGGTTTATTTAATTTAAACATCCTTGCCTTCAAGTCTTCAACTATAAAATCTCATGGACAGTATGATTAGGAGGTGTGGAAAAAATGTGTAAAAGCAAAACAAAGGTGGATAGTTGAAATCCAATAAAAACGGAACCAATGGTGGAAACCTACTCGACCCATCATGAAATTTTTCTAGTCAAATTGTTTTACCAAACTCCAACTTCATCGTTGACCTACCACATTCATAACGTAATCAATTATTTTGATCTATCTATATTAAACCAATATTAATAAACAACTGTTTTCTAACAAAAAAAAAGGTGCATTAGGATAATCAATTGTCAAGTTTTGAGATACATATTCAGGATTCAAGTCTGATATTTTTCGGAAATATACGGACACGATCCATTTGGACATCATTTCAAAGAGGTTGCTTGTAAGATGGGGTGTTGGATAGATTCTAGATTCAATGTCCCACAAATAGACAAAACACAGATACCTTTCTTCTCCACCTGGATAAATTGTATATATACACTTGTTCTACGCTTTAATATTTTATTTCCCAAAAAAAAGTTATTTTTTCTTGTTATTCATCACTCAAGATGTAATTCACAATCACATTATTATAAAGCTTACTAAATATACAGTGGGTGTAAGAAAGAAGCTTTAATTTTAAATACTATTATTAGATATATACCTATGTTCACATAATTCAAACAACTTGCACATCAAAGATGAGATCATAAGAGAAAACTTGCACTCTTGTAAAGTAATTCAAGATTCCACTAAGACCCCACCTTGTTGCATTTCCTCTTAACAATGATAGAATCTTGCTTTTTATTTGCTTTTTTTTTCAATTATTTATGGATAAAACTATATTTTTATCAACCAACTTGATTATACTTAATATTAGAAACAATCTGGTTTTCAAGTATATGATATCCGAGAAATTCTTGTAGTTTTTTATAACCAAAAAAAATCGAAACACGATTGCAGTTATAGTGGTTACTGGTTAGTTAAGGATTTGAATTTTACTGACCCCAGAATCAAGTGTGGTGAAGGACATGGAAGAAAATATAAATATGCATAGATTTTGATTCGTTGAATTTCGAATATGTGGGAAATGGATGGGAGATTCAAGTTGAAGAAGACGATGAAGTTTGGAAGTTGCAAAGGAGTGGGCAAAGGAACCAAGTTGACATAGAATGCACGCAAATCTATGCGAGTGCTGAAAAGAACACTTCTCTCACATTAATCTATACAATTCTTCTGTCACTCAAATTGATTTAAACAATTTTATATGTACAAAATATTTGTAAAGTAGATAGATTTGCCTATCTTGGAAGCACACAAATTCCAATTGCTTCCATCACACTCCAACGCCAATCTCACAACCTATGGTATTAAATTTAAAACGCATTGTGAAACTCTAGATTTAGATTCATAATAAATCAAGATTTTCATATGTAGACACTATCTAAGCACTCAGTATCAAGTTATTATGCATCAACAATAACTAATTGGATGGTTACATGTAGTGCACACTGTTTTTAGGCTAAGATCATTAGAATAGTTTTATGGAATTAATAAAGTTAATACCAGAAATATTCTATGCTAAGATCAATCTATACTTTGAAAAGGAGAAAAGAAGAAAAACAAAGAAAAGGATAATTCATTCGTTGGGGGTAATTATGTAAATGATAAACCACATCGAACCCAAGAAATGTTGAAGTATCTCTAAAGTCTGAAATTACGTTGGAAGAGAAGAAGACTAGAGAAGTATCCAATAAATGGGACACACGCCCCATATTAGAGAATAGAGACTAGTGCCCAGTTCGTGAAATAAGACAAGGAACATAGCACCAAACACTTCACTTTCTCAGTTTCTCTCTCTCTCAACCAAAAAAAAAAGGAAACGAAACCTTTCAAATGACGTAAAAGCAAAACACTGACTTTGCTTCCCCGGAATTACCAATCCAAGAAACGCTAATGATTCCTCCCTCCATTAAACAACTCCTCTCTCTAAACCCAAATCTCAATCCTTCTCTCTTTTGATTCTGTTCGCTTTTAACCCACACATACAGATTATACATAGTTTCGTATGTGGAAGAAGAGTGTATGCCAGAAAAATCCCCCCTTTCTCTCCATAACCTAAATCACTCGATCATAAGTAGAAGAAAAAGGTAAACTTTTTTTTTGGGTGATTTTATATGGTAAGAAGAGGAGAAAAGAGCAAACCTGGGAAAGTCAGGGGAGAATTTGCTGGAGGGTTTATTGGATTGTATCCATGACATCACATCGGCTTTGGCTTTCGCTAGGATGACTGATTCTGCTTATAGAGTTGACACCATTTCCAGGCTCGCCCAATGGCGAATCCACAACCTTTCTTCCTCCACTTACCGCAAGTCCGATCCTTTCAAGATGGGTCTCTGGAATTGGTATCTCTCTCCTCTCTCTCTCCTTCCTTCTTTCCTTTTTTCATGACCCGACATGAATGATGGCGATGAATGAAACAAAAGTGGGCACCTTTTTTTCTAATTGATGTGTTTGGTGATTGATTTTGACAATTTGGTGTGTTGATTATATCCAAGGCATTTGTCTGTGGAGAAAAGCAAGATGCTATTAAATGTTAAGTTGTATCCAGAGGTATCAAACCTCACCAGAGAGAATCCACCTGTTGCCTCCTTTGCTCTTCGTGTTGTCTCTTCTGCCGGTGAAAGGAAAGCTTTATCTCATCCAGGTCAATAAGATCTTGCTATTTGATTTTTTGGTTTCCCCTGCTTTTGTTCCTGTTCCACTTAAGATGAATCAAAATGCTGACACTATTTCTTTCACGAATTTGTATACCCGAATGCAGAAGTAATAGATAAGCGGATCAAGACAAACGAAGATTTTCTTTGGACGATTGAAGTTCCCTTAACTGGAAAAATCATCATCGATGTTGAGTTTCTAGACCTGAAGGTTCTGTCTCAAGATGTAAGTGTTTCCATCACTTCAGAGATGTTACTAAGAAGAACCTTATATATGTTTGGTGTGTTTAGTTGATACTTAACTGAATATGGCAGAGTGGAGAATTCTACTCAATCTGGGAAGACGGTTCAACGCAGAATCAATCCAAAGCGTCAGCAGTAACATCCCTTGGACGTATGTTGGAAGAAAGCATTTACACAGACATAATGATCAATGCCTCTGATGGAAGCATTGGAGCTCACCGAGCTGTTCTTGCTGCACGTTCACCTGTTTTCCGCAGCATGTTTCTACATGACCTTAAAGAGAAAGAGCTCTCAGCGATCAACATGCCCGACATGCCTCTTGATGCTTGCCAAGCGTTCCTCAGTTATATCTATGGCAATATCCTGAACGAAGACTTTCTTATCCATAGATTAGCTCTCCTCCAAGCAGCAGATAAATATGATATTGCTGATTTGAAAGACGCGTGCCACTTGAGTCTTGTAGACGATATCGACACAAAGAATGTTCTTGAGAGGCTTCAGAATGCTTATCTCTACCAGTTACCTGAGCTCAAGGCTAGCTGCATGAGGTATCTTGTGAAGTTTGGTAAGATATTTGAGATCCGTGATGAGTTCAACATATTCATGCAGTGCGCAGACAGAGATTTGATTTCTGAAGTTTTCCACGAAGTTCTCAGTACCTGGAAAGGATTTTAGGGGGGAATCAGAAAGGGTATGTGTGCTATTATTATTATACAAGGACTATTTTTTTGTGCAGAAGGATTTGTTGGTCTTTATGTACAGATTAAAGTGTTGTCAGGGTTTTAACTCAAAACCCCCAAGTATTGTCCTTGCAAGGATAAAAACAGCAACATGTAAATTCATGATTTGATTGAATGCGAGAGCTTCTTAGCTTGAACTTTGGATTGTTGGTCCATAACACTAATACTGTATATAGTTATCAGTCTTATGCTTTTAAAGTAAAAGTTTGAAATCAGTTCTAAGTTCCAAGCAGGATACCAGGCAAAGAGATTCTAATAGGGATCAAAGGCTTATTCTAGAGTTAGGCCAAGCTAAACTTTATATATCCTCTCATACTCTGTTATAATAGTACCATTCATCATACGAGCAAATGCCACAGGAATAATTTTAAGTGATTTTGCAAAACTAAGCTACTAGTAACATATCAAAACCATCACTCTATAAACATGACAACTAAACGTCTTATAATGTACAATATATCTTATAAGATATAGAGTGATATGGTTTTGATATGTTTGGAGAATCATGAAATTTTGTACAAGAAACATTATAAAAAAACTTTTAGTTGTCAATCTTTTTAACATGATTATCAATGAGTTCATTTTGCAGCACATTACAAGAATCCATATGCCATTTGACCTGATTCGTAATTATGTGTTCCAAGCAGGATAAGAGATATACTTATAGTATGTACAGATGGTCAAGTTAGGCCGAGCTAAACATTTCTATAGATATGTATCCTCCCTTAATCTATAATCTCCGCACGGTTTTAAAATGGTCATCACATAAGCTAAACAATTCATAAATGCAACAGGAATGGTTCAGTTTCAGAGAATTCTCTATACATAAGCCCTTGTGCTATTTAACATTTTCATTAATTTATCAAAAAGAGAAAGACTAGAATCTGTGATCATACTTGATACTATACATAGATACCGTTGATGCCGAACATAAGCTTAGCGACAATGATAGCAGAGATAAAAACACACCAAAAGGAACGATCTGAATCAAGCCAATCACCGAAACCAAAGCCCTCGAAAGCGGAGAGTAAACCAAAGCGAAAGGTGTAAAGGACGTGTTTAGTGTCCATGGTATACCCAAAGGCAATCCAAAGCGAAAGCCCAAACTAAATTGGGCTTAACGTAGAGTTGAGCTGGAAGATGGCGATCCCAAAGGCAAACACGGAGCATATGTAGATCAAAGCATCGATGGTCGAGTAATAGTAAGGGAAATAAAACATGGCTACCATAAGAATCACAGAGTAGCCCGCACGTGTAGCAGGAAGAGGAGGCTCGTTTGGATGCGAATAATATTGTGGGACACTTCGCGATATCTCCCTTGTCGTGGCATTGGATTTTAAAGATTCTATCTCAAAAAAACACATTATCGAAGGAAGAGATAATAGTGCTGATTTGAGACGTCCATAACCTATACCTAGGCCATTCCACCGGTTTTAAGATTGCATCAAGAGCAGCTGCACAATCAGTCGCTATCGTTATATCCATCAAGTGAAGATCCCTTAGGCTTTGCAATGCTCAGATAATACCTCTTAGCTCTGCTGTTATTCGGTTATGAAAGCAGGTCAAGGCATCTCTTGCGTGAAACAGAACAGTACCTGATGAGTCTCTTGCAAGCCACGCAACACCACTAAGTAGAGAGGCACTTCTCCAATTGGCATTCACATTACATTTCACGGTACCTGGAGGAGCACTTCTCCAATTGTTTATGTACAGATTAAAGTATTGTTAGGGTTTTAACTCAAAACCCCCCAAGTATTGCATAGTTAATTAGTTTTTCTTTTGCAAATCAAAGGGCATCAAACATTTTCAAACCAATAACACCAACCAATCAATTGTTTTCACTCAGCTTAAAGAATGTCAATAGTAACAAACAGCTTATGATCATGTTTTTGAGTAGAAAACATTCCACAGCTCCCATAATTCTGCATGGAAGAGAGCATATAAGGTGATTAAAAGTTTTGGTGTACACAGAGACAGAGATGGCAGAATCAAAAGGACACAATATGAGCAAAATAAATGTCAGTCGTACAAATCTTTAGTGTTTCTTTTTCTTTTGGTTATTTCTGTTTCAGCCAGCCAGATACGAAAGTGGCATTTGCCATTTGTTATGCATACTACACGATTAGTGAATAACAAAAAAATAAATAAAAGTTTTAAGAAAGAATTAAATATATAGGACAAATAAACCTAACTATTGTTAAATTTTGTCCCATTAATACTTCTACTAATAATTTAACCTTTTCTACCCTTCTAATTCGAATTTACCCATATAATTAAAATTTATGATATAAAATTTATTCTAGAAAGAAAGAAATATATTCGAAAAAGAAAGAAATATATTCTCTAGATCTGATTAGGAAAAAAATAAAAAATTTAAGAAAATAATTAGGAAATTAAATAATTGGAAAAGGAAATAAATATATTCTCTAGATCTAATCCTAGATTCTCGGAGATTCAGTTAACCAAATTGTAGAATAAGTATTCTATAATTATAGAACAAAGAGTTTCCGTAGAAAACAATTCTACTAAGATATAGAACAAAGAGGTAAATATAGAAAGATAATTCTACTAAACTGTAGAACAATGAAAAAGTTATAGAATACGGTTTCATAACTTTGTAGAACATAGAAGAACTGTAGATAACTAATTCTATATATTTAGTAGAAAACTAATGAAATAGTAGATAGTCTATTCTATAAATTTATAGATTTATAGAATGCACTTTCTACTAATTCATAGAACATTTGTAAAAAGTTGTTTAAAATTTTTTTTTGGCAAAAAGATGTTATGAAATGTTTTTGTCTTCCCTTTTCAGAATGATCCAAAATTTTTTAGATTATAAAATTTTTTTTTAAAATTTTTGTAATTGTAAATTAATGGTATTTTTATCCAAAAGTGGTCAAGTTTGAAAAAGTATTAAGGGGACAATACTACAGTTTTTTTGTCCTATAAATATAATTGAAACATAAGAAGGTCTAGACCCCTATATGAAAATGATAATCTATAATTAAGTGGCTCTAACTCATATGGTTACGGAATTATGAAAGACCAGTGGCGGAGGTATATACAATGAGTTGGGGGCAGTTGCCCCCAATAAAAAAAAATATTTAGTGTAAATTTGTAACAATAATACTAGTTGCCCCCACACTAAATAGCATATATGTTCCCATTAAATACGTTTTGTCCCTAATAGAAAAATGTTCTGGCTCCGCCACTGTGAAAGACATCAGTGTGACTTGAAGCAATGCTTTGTTTACTTCAAAGTTTGATATTCTGTGTATAATTAAAAAGTTTAGTCAAAATCATGAATTTTCACTCATTATCCATATATAATCTATAGAGAGACAATGGTCACGTACGTAACATTGTCGTTATTTGACAAAAAAAAACCGTTTGTATATCAGAATAAAACGAGAGAGTATCTGTTTGGTTTATAATCATACGTTATTATACATAATTAGACAAAAATAGATCGTAAATGCTTAGGAAACAAAATAGATCATCATAGATATAGGTAATTAACGGGGAAAAAACAAGAATTCATAGCCAAAAAAGAAAGAAAGGAAGTTTTATATATTGAATGCAGCTATAGAAAATACGAAGATCCAAAATGATTGATTCCTATTTCCCATTACGTTTTGGGTTATAATTACAAGTTTCTGAATCATATATTTCCAATCGATCGAATCCAAAAGAAGCAAAACGAAAAGAAAAAAGAAAGATGTTGATGTGGGACTACTAAACAAACTAAATTGGGCTTGACCATCTGCTAGTAGTAGTCCGGGCTAATGTCGATCCAGCCTAATTTCTTTCAGCCATCTGCAACGGGGGACTTGCCTGGGAAGCTCAGCGACGACAGCTTCAGCCGGCGGGGGAGGTGGAGTGTTCAGGACTGCCAAAAGAAGCGAGAAGCATACGCTTAGGACTAGAATGTAATGCTTCTTTGGATATTCTGCGACTGAGACGGTGAAGGCAGCAATGAGGACTCCCTGGGCGATTCCAATGTCATCGGTGATTTTGTTGATGACCCAGAACGATAGTAGAAAGAGAAAGTAAAAGATAGCGGAGATGGCTATATACACATCTTTCTCTGCCACCATTCTTTTCCCCAGCCAGAGGAACAAAAAGAAGAATCTAATCGTAGTGACTCCCTTGAAGATAGTGAATGCACAATCCCCAAATTTAACAAGGATTTTTTGTCGTGCCTTCCGTTACAAATTGTGGAATCCAAATCAAGCAAAAGGAAACCAATATCACATCGGCGAAATACATTGCTTCATCGCCAGAGTGATTCTTGCAATACACCGATTTTTTTAAAAAAAAGTTGTAGAGATGAGCAGATAAGCAGCAGCTTGATACTTGGGATAAATAGAACCCAAGAAAACCTGTGATGCGAGCGGCTGGGTTCAGACTTGGAAATCGGATGGTGTACCTGGGAAAAGCTGGATTTCCGGCCATGAGTATTTGGAAAGAAGAAAATGTATTGGAGGAAGACAAAGAAAATGTATTGGAGGGAAGAACCAGAGGAATTTATAAATCGACGCTGATATAAATGATATTAATGGGCCGGGTCAGTTTGATTAGAGGCCTTAGAGATTCGAGTCCTTAAATTCTTGTCCTCAAAAAAAAAACCTCGATCTTCAAATCCCTTTCATGGTTTAGTCTTGGAAATTCGATGGGGAAAAGCTGGATTTCCGACCATGGATGAATAAAGAGAAAGGCTCTTGGATATTTGGAAAGAAGAAAGAATTAGTGAATTTGTCCGCGCCTTGCACGAGCTGATATTATTTTTTATTTGATTGTTTAAAAATGTAATATAGTTTAGATTAATTTTTTTATTCTTTATTATTGTATATATTTGTTTGTTAGATTTCTTTGCATTTTAATGTTTAAAAACATGATGTTGACTATAAATACTATCATTGTCTTTTTTTGTCCATTTGGCTGATATGTTTTTTGAACAAGACTACAAACTATATATATATACATATTTATAATAATCATAGAACATAATGATTTGAAGTATCGTACAAATTTATTCGAAGAATAAAATAAGAAATTAAACAATTTAGAAGGATGTGAGAGAATTAGGGAGAAATTGTGTACATATTTATACTAAAACATTTGAAGTCAAAAACCGTAATAGAG